GAGACCAGTCTGGTGGGTGTTTGGGGTCAGAGGTGCCATTGAGACCAAGAGAAGGAGCTAAGCTGTCTCCAGATGGGACAGGTGGTGTTAGCCAAGGGCCTGAGGCATTTCTAGGTTTGGGAGGAGGCGCCAAGTGGGCAGCAGCTGGAAGTGACTGGGTTACCAGACGCTGGATGCCTGGGATGCTTCCTGGGCTGGAAGGCAGGTTTGGGGAAGCGCCAAGCAGATCTGTAGAGGAGGACCAGTCCCTCTGTAGCTGGGGACCCTTGCTGTCTGCTGGACTCAGATGAGCTGCCAGGGTGGTGGTGGGCAGGGCTGGGAAAGACTTGGCTTCTGGAAGCTGGCCTCCGGGTGCGTCCGCAGTGTCAGGTGTCAAGCTGAAGGTGGGGGTGGTGCAGTGAAGGTGAACAGGGTTACCCTGGCTCTCCTGCACGTGGGGAGTGATGACCCTTGGGAAGGTGAAAGCAAGGCTCCCTGATTAGGGACCGTCACCATGATCTCCTGACTTCTCAAGGTAGATGGGAACTCAGGCCTGGCTGAGGCTTCAGCAGACAAGAGGGCTGGCAAAAGCCCTTAGTTTTTCAGCTGTGGGGCCCCAAGCAGAACCCTGTGTCCCTCTGAGAGGCGGTGTTGGGTCTGGGAGGTTTGAAAAGTTTGAGAAGCAGCTGCCAAACTTGGGAGCCAAGGCTGGAAAGTATAGGTTGGAGAAGAGCTTAGACACAGCGAAGACTTGGAAAGGGGACTGCCCTGGCGCCATCAGTCCTTTAAGAGGAGGGGACTCTGAAGGTGACTTCATGTAGGGGGGCTGGTGGGCAGAAAAGTAAGCGACCCCTTGCCAGGCCAAGTCACCGAAGGAGAGATCTTAGGAAGCCCTTCCAAGGGGCTCAGGGGCTTGGTCTATTTCCCGGGAACCCAAGTTCTCACAGGGATGTGGGAGTTGGGACCCCCTCTAGGAGTGAGGTGAGAGTGTTGGAGACATGGGGGTCTGTGTCAGGCAGGGCAGATGGTGGGCTAGATGGCTCCATTGACTTAGAATTTCTGGTCATTGGTGGCAACCTCTAAGGTTGAAGTTCCTGTGGAGGTGACAGGCAGTATGCCTGAGGCGTGTCCCCACCTACCTGCTAGCCTCAGTCCAGTCCAGGGCCTCAAGTCCAGTCAAAGAGCAGTGATGGGGAGCACAATGCCACTCCCTCCCCTGTCCTGGGGCCATTCTCTTCTCTGGAAGCAGAGGGGGTCCTGGTAGAGCTGCATTGGGCTGGGTTGGGGGCTCCTCCTTGGAGGGTACCAGGGGCTGGGGGTTGGGGAAGCTACCCAGGGCAGAGTTCCAGAGGGCACAGAGCACAACTGTCAACAGCCAGGCCCAGAGCCCACTGGCTGGAGCCCCTCTGGGGCTTCTGTCACACTCAGGCCTGCCCAAGGCCTCCTCAGCTGGGCCTGAAGGGGCAGCAGGCTGGACTAAAGGGTTGGCGCTGAGGGCTGGAGGCACCCTTCCCATCTCCAGAGGGGAGCTGTGGGGTCAGAAGAGGCATTCAGTTAGGTCAGAGTGGGTCGCCTCCCACTTTTCCCTGAAGGCTAAGGGAAGACTCAGCTTTTTGGCCTCATTGGCCTTTCTTAGTGAGATCCAGCCTGCAAGGAAGCCCCGAGAGGTTACAGGGGGAGTTTGCTCTTGATATCCTCACCCAGACATTGCCCTGCTCTGGGAGCCAAGACACTGGCTAACAAGAGAAACTTCCCTCTAAGTTTACTCACCTTCTCACAGGCTTAACTCCCATCAGCAAAGCTAGCCAACTTGGGTGTCTCAACCTTTTGTATTGGGCTGAGAGGCCAGGTGGGGCAGCAAGGAGGAGCCTCACCTGAGCTCCCTCTTTTAGCTGGGATGCTTCCTGGGCTGGAGCAAGAGACCAGATGCTAGCTCAGCAAGACCACCTGGGTAGAGTGAGGTCCAGCTGAGAGTAAGTAGATCGGGGCTAGACCAAGAGGGGCCAGGCAGAACTCGATGTGATCTATTTACAAGTTCCTGGACCTCAGTTTCCTCATCTGTAAGTAACCGAAGGGACAGGAATAATTGATTGTTGTTAAATGCTGTCGAGTCAGTTCTGACCCATAGCAACCCTGTATAGGGTTTCCGAGGAGCGGCTGGCGAGCTTGAACTGCTGACCTTGCAATTCAAACCAACCGTTTGTGTTACTCAATGTATGTTTCCTGGACATGTGACTCAGAATCGTCTTTACAAGCCTGGTGGGGCCCGGGAGCTTACCAGGTGAATCTATTTGAGAAGCCTAGGCACCTCAGAGTTACAGAGGAACTGTGGACCCCGAAGTCAGTCAAGCAAGGTAAAGGCTCCAGTTTCCTAAAGGAGAGTGGTGGGTCTGGCATATTCTGTGCCCTCAACCCAACACTTTCCCTTCTCAACTCTTAAGTGCCATTGAGTCAGTTCTGACTCATAGTGACTCTTGTAGTTTCCAAGGAGCAGCTGGTGAGCTTGAACTGCCCACTTTGTGGTCCAGTGCTGATGGACCAAGTTTTGTGAAGGATGGTAGCAGGCTAGAGCACTTCTTCAGACTAGGAGTCCTGGTACAGAGTGTTTCTGCCCCCGCCCATACTGGGGCTTTCTGGGATACTGCCCCATCTCCCTCCCTTAACCAGGGCTCTCCAAGTTGGGGCTCCCAGGACATCGCCTTCTCCAGAAGAGTGACCAACTCCCTCAACTAGAGCCTGCCCAATGCCACTCACCCAGCCTCTGCTCAGTTATGGTCCTCAGGGGCCACAAGTTGACTCAGATTTGGGTGCTCAGTAGGCCTCAGGCTAGGCCCTGCAACTGTGAGCAAGGTGAGTACCTGGCACAGGTGTGTGGGGCAGGCCACGGTCTCAAAGCTACTCCATCCCTGACTCCTCCCCACCTAGAGGAGCCTCAGGATTCAAACTCACTCACTTTGGTCTTCTGTAAAGTACATTGCTCATCCCTGCTCCTCTCCAGGCTGTAGGATTTAATGAGCTGATGTAACAATAATCGATTTCAAGCTAGATTCCCTGTCTCCACTCTCCTTCCCTTTCTAATTCATTATACTCCAGCCCTGCCCAGATTTTCTCCAGCTCTACCTCAGCTGTTATGGACCTCTGGTAGCATAGTGGTTATAAGTTGGGCTGCTAAACTCCAGGTCAGCCGTTCAAACTACCAGCTGTTCTGCGGGAGAAAGATGAGGCTTTCTGCTCCTGTAAAGATTTACAGCCTCAGAAACCCTATGCAGGTTCTCTACGGGTTGGAACCAACTCCACTGCACATAACCAACCTCAGCCCTTGCATATGTGGTTCCCTTTGTTGTGATCACATTTTACTTTGTCAAGGCCCAGTTCAGGCACCTGAGCTTTTGGGACCCAAGGTCACCTCCACCCCAGCTAGGACAGGCTCCTCCCCTAGGCTTCCACAGCACCCCTTGCCACCAGGTTTCCCAATGCTATAGTGGTCTAGTCCATTCACAGGCCAGGAACTCTTGGGCTATTTGATCAGGGTAGGAAGTGGCCCAGTAGACGTCTAACAGCCAACCAGATGGCATGGGAGGGCTATGTCAGCAGGAATGTGAGGACTTGGCCAGGCAGGCCCATCTAGCTCTAGCTGACTGGCTCCTGGCTCAGCCGAGGCGGGGTCACTGGAGGGTGGTGACAATGGTTCTACCTAGACCTTGAGGGACATCATTCTGTAGACCAGCATTTCTCACGGGGATGCCCACAGTAGTCTCTTGATCGTGGGGCTTTCTGAGCAGAGAAGTTGCAGTGCAGTAGGCATTCGTGGGAGAAGGGCCTGAGTACCCGGGAAGGATGCTCCGGGCCTTCCTGGGGGGCCACAGGAAGACCCACTGTCTGAAGAAGGGAGCGGGTACAATGTGATACAGTATGAAACCCACCACCCAAAGGCCTCCACCAACAGACTCATAGACAAGTCCTGGTTCCAAAAACAACCAAAATGTTTTAATGGCCTGCCTCCAGGGCCCACAGCCTTATACAAAACATTGACTCACCAGGCCAAGGGCTCCAGCTTGTCAACCTTTGGCTCAGCTCAGCAGACTGCTGGGAGGAGCCCAGAGCAGGCCTGGCTGGTGCAGCTCTGGTGTGAGTGGTGCCCACGTCCCCAGTCCACATCTTCAGGGACCTCTTAGGGCTGAGCGGCCATTTAGCCTGTTCCCTTCAGTCCCTACAGCTGCAGGACTTCCAAAAAAACAAACAACTTTCTTGGGATAATGCACAGGGTTGAGGCAGCTCAGGGAAATCAATGCCTTCAATTCAGGTCAGGCCTGCGAACAATAGGCCTGGAAAACAAGGATGCCAGCCCCAGGCACCAGCTGTGGGGACAGGGAAGGGCAGGCTCCTTCAGAGAGCTTCAAACTGGGTGTTAGTTAGGGCCCAACCCCAAATGCAGGAGCTGTAAACCCCAAGCCTTCCTGGGAAATGACTCCAGAAGGTAGGTAGGTAGGTGTGTGGGTGGGCAGTCATACACACTGTACAATGTACCGCTATTAGAGACCAAGTCCTATGACACATGAACTTTCTACAGGGAGGTTCTGCTCCCCATGGCAATCCCAGGCCCTGGCCGAGATAAAGCCCTGTCCCAGGAGGGAGCAGAGACTGAACCGTGCTGGGTGTGTGTCAGGCATTGTCCCCACAACCCTGTGAGGTAGGTTGCGTTGTTCTATTTTACAAATGGGGAATTGGGCTTAAGAGAGGGACAGTAACTTGCCTAGATCACAACAAGGATAAAGGAGCCGACTCAAGTCCAAGTGTCTGGCTCCAAAGCCCACACTTCTCTTAGGAAAAATAAGAAGCAATCATTTCAAATAGAGTCTCAAGTTACAAGTAAAGGAGCTCTCAGCCCCTCCTGGGTGGGTGAGGGCTAGAGAAACTTCAAGGGCATGTCTACCTTCTGCGGGGAAATGGCAAGACAGTAGGAGGGGTGCAAACAGTGATGTTCAGACAGGAAGATGTCCACATAGCACCAGCAACCAATGCTACAGGTGGTGGCTCTGACCCCCCAACAGCTGTGGGTGGGGTGAAGGCCGGTCCTGTCCTGGGACCTTGTGGCCCCAAGTGGGCAGTGCCAGGCCATTGAGCCAGGCTGTCTCTAGCAGGCTGCGGAAGCGGGACCTTAGTGAGGGGCCGAGCGGGCTGGTGCTGGCAGCTGCAGTAGGTGAGGCACCACCATGGGATCTTCCCCCAGCAGCTGCCTCTGCCTTCTCTGGACCAGGAGTTGGTTGTTTCCTCCCCAGTTTCCTGGTCTTGGGGGCTGGTGACTTCTGAGCCAGGACTAGGCTCTCTGGCTCATTTGGGGCCATGGTGGGTTCTGATGGGGGCCGATTTCCAGCCTCAGTGTCAGAGTCACCTGGAAAATGAACACACAGTTAGGCTGCAGACGTCACAAAGCCATGCAGGGCACCTGCAGGGCCATTGTCACCACATTCCTTCCTTCCCCAGATGGCCCAAGTCAACAGGCTGACACCAGAGTTTGATCAGATGAGGGCAAGTAGGGAAGGAATTACTGGTCAGGACAGGAAAGGGACCCAATAGGGTTTTCAATGCTCGAATTTTCAGGAGTTAAGATTACCAGGCTTTTATTCTGCAGAGCCTCTGGATGGACTCGAACCGCTAGCCTTTTGGTTAGTGACCAAGTGTGTTAATTATTTACACTACCCAGAGGCTCTCAGGAACCACTGGCCTGGTCCAAAGCCCCACAGTACAGATAGGAGAAACTGATGAATGGAGCTGGATTGGAAGGTGGAGCCCAGAGAGAGGACAGAGGAAGCAGGGGAAGGAAATCGAGGGGGCCCCTAACCAAGAGCACACCTACTTGGAAGGGAGGCTGCCGGGGGCAACACAGGAACCTGTAAGAAACAAAGGTGGGGACAATTGTAGGAAGGCACTCCCAGCTCGGGGAGGGAATGGGGATGGGGCACCCATAATTCAGCCAGTGGTAGGCCAACTGCCCCAATCTCTTACTATCCCTATCAGAGCAGGAGGTGACTCTGTGGAGGGGATGGGCCCCATTGCCCACCATGGGCCCTCCCTCCCCCATCTGGGCAAGCAAAGGACTGGGCTGGGGGCCTCCAAATGATGCTTCTCTCTCTCTCTCTCTCTC